AGGACCTTCATTTGCTGATGTTGCAAACTCAAAATGAGAAGAAACCGCTGCAAACATCCATTAATTATCAGAACAAGGAATGTATAAAATAGGAATCTAAGAAAATTGGAAGTTGTCAAAATTGAAATGAACTCATAAAGACGTATTACTAATTGGAACATGAATGCATGAAGAATGAATCTAGGAAAACTGGAGGTTGTCAAAAATGAAATGGAACTCATAAAAATCCATTAATAATTGGAACGTGAATGTACGAAGAATGAATCCAGGAAAATTGGTAGTTGTCAAAATGAAATGGAATGCAAGATCAATACCCTAGGCATTAGTGAGCTGACTGGCCATTTTGAATCTGAAAATCACTATGCCAGGAACAAGAAATTAAAAAGGAATGGTATCCCATTTACTGTCAGAAAGAAAATTTCAAGATCTATCTTGAAGTACAACATTGTCTGTGATAGGATAATATCCATATGCCTACAAGGAAGACCAGTTAATACCACTATTATTCAAATTAAGCACCAAGCACTAAGTCCAGTGATAATGAAATTGAGGAATTTTACCAACTTTCTCAGTTTGAAATTGATCAAACATGCAATCAAGATGTACTAATAATTACTGGTGATTGGAATGCAAAACTTAGAGACAAAGAGTAAAGATCAGTAGTTGGAAAATATGACCATGGTAACAAACAATGCTGGGATTGCATGCTAGAATATTGCAATATCACTGACTTATTCATTGCAAATACCTTTTTCAAAAACATGTGAACCTCACCAAATGAAACACACAGAAATCAAATTGATGACATCTGTGGAATAGATAATAGAGAAGCTCAATATCATCAACCAAACAAGGCCAGTGGCTGACTGTGGAACAGATCACCAATTGCTCTTATACAAATTCTGGCTAAAGCAGAAGAAAATAAAAATAAGTCCATGAGAGCCAAAATTATGACACTGAATACATTCCACCAGAATTTAGAGATCATCTGAATAACAGTTTCAATGTATTAGAAACTAATGTTCTATGACAACAAGAGTTGTGACATCAAAAATATAATACATGAAGCAAAAGGTCATTACAGTGACAGGAAAAAAAGAGGAAAAACTAAAATGAATGTCAGAAGACTGAAACTTTCTCTTGAATGTAGAGTAAATAAAGCAAATGGAAGAAATGATGAAGTAAAATAACTAAGCAGAAAATTTCAAAAGACAGTTCAAGAAGACAAGGTTACTATTATACTGAAATGTGCAAAAACCTGTAGTAAGAAAAAAGGAATTCAGTATTTCTCAATTTGAAAGAATAGAAGAAAGAATTCAAACCTTGGGCTGTAATACTGAATGATTTCACAGGCAAAATATTGAATGACACAGAAGCATCAAAATAAGATGGTGGGAACATACAGTCACTGTACCAAAAAGAAATGGTCAATAATTTCTAGAGGTAGCATATAATCAAGAACCGATGGTATTGAAGGAATTAGTGAGAAACAAGACTCCAGAAAGTGACAGAATAATAATGTTTCAACAAACTGATGCAGTGCTGGAGGTACTCATTCATCTTTGTCAAGAAATTTTAATGCCCATTCCAAAGACTGGGAACCAATGGAGTATGGAAATTATCTAACACTATCATTAATATCACATGCAAGTAAAATTTTGCTGAAGAGAATCTAAATCAATTGCAGGAGTATACTGACAGTAAATTGCCAGAAATTAAAGCTGGATTCAGAAGAGGACATGGACCTAGGGATATTATTATTGAGGTCAGATGGATTTTGGCTGAAAGCAGGGAATATCAGAAAGAAGTTTACTTATGCTTAATTGACTATACAAAGATATTCAACTGTGTGGATCATAACAATGTTTGGATAACATTGGGATGAAAGAATATTGCAGAACACTTAATTGTGCTAAGAGAAACTTTTACATAGACCAAGAGGCAGTTATTTGATCAGAACAAAGGGGTACTAAATGGTTTTAAATCAGGGAAGGTGTGTGTCAGGGTTGTATCTTATCACCATATTTATTCTGTATACTAAGCAAGTAATACAAGAAACTGGATTATATAGACAAGAACATGGCATCAGGATTGGAGGAAGACCCATTTATAAACCTGTGATATGCAGATGACTGAAGCCTGCTTGCTGGAAGGAAAGAGGACTTGAAATACTTACTGATGAAGTTCAAAGACTATATACAGCCTTCAGTATGATTGCACCTCAAAGTAAAGAAAACACAAATCCTCACAGTTAGACCAATAAATAAGAGCATGATAAATGGAGAAAAGACTGAAGTTGTCAAAGATTACATTTACTTGGATCCAAAATCACTGCTAATGGAAGAAGAGCCAAGAAATCAAAAGATATATTGCATTAGGCAAATCTGCAAAAGACCTTTTAAAAATGTTTAAGAGCAAAGATGCCAGTTTGAGGACTAAAGTGTGCCTGAAAACACCAAGCTGTGATGTTTTCAATAATCTCACAGGCACATGAAAGTTGGACAATGAGTAAGGAAGACCACAAAAAAATCAATACATTTGAAATGTGGTGTTGGATAAGAATATTGAAAGTACCACGGAGTGCCAGAAGAATAAACACATCAGAATGCTTCTCTTTGTTTCTTATACTTTTGGACATATTATTAGGAGGGACTAGTCCCTGGTGGGTCAGTGATAAAGAAGAAGACCCCCAATGAGATCAGATGGATTGATACAGTAGCAGCAACAAAGGGCTCAAACAGAACAACAATTGTGAGGATAAGGCAAGGCTGGGCAGTGTTTCATTCTGTTGTTTACAGAGTTGCTATTAATTAGAACTGACTCAATGGCACCTAACAACAACATGACCCAAATTAATCTATTCCAGCTGTTCCCTGGAAACCCTGTACAGGGTCACTATAAGTCAGAATTGACTTAACAACACTTAACAACCACAACAAATGTAAGTGTATCAGAACCCATATACTGATCGCTCATAGCACCACTGTTACAGTGTGGGTAAACTATTTGTTGTTGTTAGGTGCTGCTGAGTCAGTTCTGACACATAGCGACCTTACGCACAGCAGAATGAAACACTGCCTGATTCTGCATTTTCCTCACAATTACTGTCATGTTTGAGCTCACGGTTGCAGTGGCAACTATAAGCAACCTAAATATCTGTAAATAAAAGCTTAGATAAATTGTGAAGTGTTCACATAATGGTATATATTATAATAAAATGATGTACAGCTACAATGATGAATCATAGAAATATAAAATTGAATGAAAGGAGAAAATTTCAAAAAGACCACATATATAATTTTATCTTTATAAAACTCAAACCCAAGAAAAATTGATGTTATTTAATGATATATGTGATAAGAAAAGTTTATTTATAAATATGGAAATGAATAACATAAAATTTAGGATAATTGTTACTACTGGCAGAAAGTGCCTGCAGGATATTAAGCAAATCACTTTAACACCTCGTTTGATATAATCTGCCTGTTTCCATGCCTATCATTTTAATTTTTGAAGTCCTGGTGTGGAGCTGGAGGATAAGCACTGGACACAAGTTCGGTGGTTCAATTTTACTAGTCGCTCCTCAGACACCCTATACCCAGTTGCTATGAGGTGGAACCGACTTGACGGCACTTAACACTACCACCAACAATATTAAACTTCTTAAAAATTGAGAATTAAATGTTTAAAAAAAGATAACAATAGAGTCTCATTCTTGGTATGAGTGTGGCAGAGTAACCTACCATTAAATATCCAGCTCTGGTACCGTAGTGGTTACGAATCGGGCTGCTAACCTCAAGGTCGGCAGTTCGAAACTACCAGTAGTTCTGTGGGAGAAAGATGAGGCGTTCTGCTCCCTTAAAGATTTATAGCCTCGGAAACCCTGTGCAGGGTCATTATGAGTCGGAACCGACTCCACGGTACTTAACAACAACAACAACAGTATTAACCACAGGGCCAGCGGTTCAAGCTCACCAGTCACTCCTTGGAAACTCTATACAGGATTGCTATGGATCGGAACCAACTCGATGGCACTTAACAACAACAACAACAACTATTGTTATTACATTATTAAAGCAAATAGAACTTGCTATATACATGCCAAATATTATTAACTTAATCCATGAATTTAAATGGATCTTATTAAAATGCATAAAAAGCAAAACTATATTGATCTAATTTAATCTTTATAATTCTCTGTTTCATTTTTAATTCCCTCCATTTCTTTACTGATAATAGATTTATAAATCTATCCTAGTATGAATTCATTCTGTATTATCAGTGCATTCTATATTGCATCATTGAATATAATTTATATGTGGTGCTGTGGGTTAATGCACCTGACTGCAAAGCCATTTGAACTACAAGGTTGGTGGTTCAAGCTCACCAGTCACTCCTTGGAAACCCTATATAGGGTCGCTATGGGTCGGAACTGACTCGATGGCACTAAGCAACAAATGCAATAAATCACTGATTCCTTGTTCACAAGTTGGCTACAAATAGTCCCAACATTTTTTGTTTATTATAGAAGCAATAGTATATATAGCAGATGGTTCAAATAAAGTATTTTATTCTAATGCTTAAATACTGTTACACAAAATTCTTATGAAAATGACTAGCTGGTTTATCCATGCCACTTTGAAAGAGAAATGGTAATAAAAAAAAGATCATTAAAGAAATTTTAGGTTGTAACCTTTCAAGTATGTTCATATCAATAACTTACAAATCTATTATTTGTTCATATTCCTTTCCAATAACAGTGACTTTTCAAATCAAGATCATTAACTCTCTAAAAAGACACATTATTCAGAGCTTTAAATATTCAAGAATATATATTTCATGACTAGCTATCAATCAACTGATTATAAAAAGTAATTATAAAACTGCCAACCAATTTTTAAATATAAAATTAATAATATATTCAGAATATTTTAAATATTCAGATGAAACAAGGCTAACAATTTAGAAAAACCTTTAACAATCTATGTATAGAGTTTTACCTTATTTAGATCTTCCCTTTCTTGTTGTAACATTTTGATTTGTTTTTCATAAGCCTTGATTTGTCTAAAAGCATCATTGAGTTCTCGCCTCACAGAATTAGCTTCTTCAAGTTGTTCTTCCAAATGACTTGATTCTAAAAACAAAAGACAATATGAAAACAAATTATTGAAACGGAAGTGTGGTTTCAAAGCATCTAAATTTTTAAAAAGAGAAGTAGTTTGAATTTAGTAATAAGCTTGCTAACATATTTCACTGTGACTCAGAACAAATGACTACATACTAATCCACTATAAAGATGGCAAATGGTTTATGCCAACATGCAAATGGTTTATGCCAACATGAGGAAGTTTTATGAGCAAAAAAACTTCAATGATTAACTAGGAAAAAAGCTCATGCTTCCCAAAACACCATCTTCAGAACCAGCTAAAAACTTAAAGCAAAAAGAACAACTCAACAAAGCAAACACTGTAGTCTGAACAGCAAAGTCAGTGGTTCAAGCACACCAACTGCTCCTTGGAATGGAAACCCTATACAAGGTTGCTATGGGTTGGAACCAATTTAACAGCAGTTGACAACAACAACAACAATTGGTAGTAAGCACTCATGTGCAGATATTAGTCAAAATATAGTAAGATGACTTTGCTTCTGATATCTATTGTTGTTTTGTGAGCAGTCTTAATTATTACATGTAAATATGGTGTGTAAATGATAAAAAATCAGACCTACGCTAATAGTTTTCAAATTATTTCCTCTGCAAAGCATTGCCAACATTAATTGGTACATACAAGTGTGTGTCCACAACTCATCTGTCAGTTTGTCGTAGTGGTGGCTTGTGAGTTGCTGTGATTCTGAAAGCTATGCCACCAGTATTTTAAATATCAGCAGGGTGACCCATGGTGGACAGGTTTCAGATGAGCTTCCAGACAAAGACAGACTAAGAAGAAAGAGTGATGAACTACTTCCAAATATTTAGTCACTAAAAACCTTATGAATACTAGAGAAACACGGCCAGATATAGTGCCAGAAAAATGAGTCCCTCAGGTTGTTAGGCACTCAAAATGAGACTGGGGAAGGGATGCCTCCTCAAAGTAGAGTTGACCATGATGATGCGAATGGAGCAAAATCTGCGGGAGAAAAGCCCGTGGGACCTTCATTTGCTGATGGGGCACAACTCAAAATGAAGAGAAACAGCTGTAAACAACCAGTGAAAATCGGAACATAGAATGTACAAAGTATGAATCTGGGAAAATTGGAAGTTGTCAAAAATGAAATGGAACACATAAACATCAATATCTTAGGCATTAGTGAGCTGAAATGGACTGGTATTGGCCATTTTGAATCTGACAACCACATGGTTTACTATGCTGGAAATGACAAATTGAAGAGGAATGGTGTTGCATTCATCGCCAAAAAGAACATATCTAGATCCGTCATGAGGTACAACACTGTCTGTGACAGGATAATATCCATGCGCCTACAGGGAAGCCCAGTTAATAACACTATTATTCCAATTTATGCACCACCAATAAAGCCAGTGAGGATGAAACAGGAGAATTCTACCAACTTCTTCAATCTGAAATTGATCAAGAGGTAGTGATCACTAACTGGTGATTGGAATGCAAAAGTTGGGAGGAAAGAGGAAAGATCAGTATTTGGAAAATATGGCCTTGGTGATAGAAATGATGCTGGATAATGCATGATAGAATTCTGCAAAAACAATGATTTGTTCATTTCAAATACCTTCTTTAGACAGCATAAGCAATGACTATACACATGGACCTCACCAGATGGAATACACATATAGTGACTACATCTGCGGAAAGAGACGATGGAAAAGCTCCATATCATCAGTCAAAAAAAGGCCAGTGGCAGACTGTAGAACAGATCACTTGAATATATCCCACCTGAATTTAGAGATCATCTGAAGAACAGATTTGATACATTAAACACTAAAGATCAAAGACCAGAAGCGCTGTGGGATGACATCAAGAACATCACACATGAAGAAAGCAAGAAGTTATTAAGAAGACAAGAAAGAAGGAAAAGGTCAAAATGGATGTTAGAAGAAACACTGAATCTTGCTCTCCAGCGTAGTGATGCTAAAGCAAAGGGAATATATGAGGAGGTACTAGAGCTGAACAGAAAATTTCAAAGATCAGCTCGAGAAGATAAAACCAAATATTACAACAAAATGTGCAAAGATCAGGAATCTGAAAACCAAAAAGGAAGAACACACTTAGCATATCTCAAGCTGGGGGAATTGAAGAAAAAAATCAAGCCTTGACTTCCATTATTGAAATATTCTCTGGGAAAATTATTGACTGATGCAGAAAGCCTCAAGAGAAGATGGAATCCAAAGGGAAATGGTTACTATTCAACCATTTCAAGAGGTAGCATATGATCAAGTGCCAATGATACTCAGGGAGGAAGTCCAAGGTGCATTGAAAGAATTGGCAAAGAACAAGGTACCAGGAACTGATGGAATCAAAATTGAAATCTTTCAAGAAAGTGAGGCAGCACAGGAGGCACTCACTCATCTCAACCAAGAAATCTGGAAGACAACTTTCTGGCTGACTGATTGGAAGAGATCTGTATTTGTGCCCATTCCAAAGAGAGGTGACCCAATGGAATGCGGAAATCATCAGACAATCTCTTTGATATCCCATGTGAGTAAAGTTTTACTAAAGGTAATACAGAAATGGCTGCAAGCATACACTGACAGAGAACTTCCAGAGGTTAAAGCCAGATTCAGAAGAGGCCATGGAATGATGGATACCATGGCTGATGTCTGATGGATCTTGACTGAAAGCAGAGAATATCAGAGCCATGTTTACCTGTGCTTTACTGACTAGGCAAAGGCTTTCAATTGTGTGGATCATGACAAGCTATGGACAAGAGTGTGAAGTATGAGTATTCTGGAACACTTAATTGTGCTCATGAGGAATCTGTACCTGGACCAAGAGGCAAGTTGTTCGAACAGAACATGGGAACTACTGAATGGTTTAAAATTAAGAAAGGTGTATGACAAGGTTGTATTCTTTCACCATACTTATTCAACCTGTATGCTGAGCAAATAATCCAAGAAGCTAGGTTCTATGAAGAAAAATGTGGCATCAGGATTGGAGGAAGACTCATTAACAACCTGTGATATGCAGATGATACAACCTTGCTTGCTGAAAGTGAAGAGGACTTAAAACATTTACTGATGAAGATCAAAGAGCACAGTCTTCAGTATGGATTACATCTTAATGTAAAGAAAACAGAAGTCCTCACCACTGGACCAATAAGCAACATTATTATCAACGGAGAAAAGATTGAAGTTGTCAAGGACTTTATTCTTCTAGGATCAACTATTAACACTCATGGAAGCAGCAGTCAAGAAATCAAATGATGTATTGCATTAAGCAAATCTGCTGCATAAGACCTTTTTGAAAGTGTTGAAGAGCAAATATGTCAGCATGAGGACTAAGATGCACCTGACCCAAGCCATGGTACTTTCCATAACCTCATATGCATGCGAAAGCTGGACAGTGAATAAGGAAGACTGTAGAAGAACTGATGCTTTTGAGTTATGGTGTTGGAGGAGAATGTTGAAGGTGCCCTGGGCTGCCAAAAGAACCAATAGATCTGTTTTGTAAGAAGTGCAGCCAGAGTGCTCCCTGGAGGTCAAGATGGCCAAACTTCGTCTCTCACACTTCGGACATATTGTCAGGAGGGACCAGTCTCTGGAGAAGGATATCATGTTTGGTAAATGGAGGGTCAGACAAAAGAGGACCCCCAATGAGATGGATTGGCCAAGTGGCAGCATTGATGGATTCAAGGGTGGCAACAGTAATGAGGGTGGCCCAGGATCGAGCAGTGTTTAGTTCTGCTATGCATAAGGTCACTATGAGTTGGTACCAACTCGATGGCACCTAACAACAGGTGTGCGTGTATGGTAACAAATAACCAAGCTCCATTTCACCCAAGACATCTCTGCTTTTATTTTTAGGTTGTTGGTAAGTGCTGTACAGTCAGTTCTTATTCATAGTGATCCTTGCATGGTTTCTTGGAGCTGCTCATGCATTTCAACCATCAGCCTTTGGTTCAAACCAATCTTGCAGTTTGGTGTTTATCCTACAGTGCCACACCATGACTCCTTGTTTTATAGAGTATACTTAAATTTTCATTTGAAGAACAAACTGATTTTTAAAAATAAATACTTGAAAACTTTGGATCCAGACAAGTATTTCTATTTTTCAGATGAAGAAACAGATGAAGGGAGTTGCACAACATGCCTCAGGTCATATTGCTATAAAGAATCACTAACATGCATTAGTGTGGTGGTGGTGGTTGTGTGGTACTGAGTTAATCCCAACTCATAGGGACCCTGTATAGGGTTTCAAGGCAGTGCATCTTTATGGGAGCAGAACGCCTCATCTTTCACCCCTGGAGTGATTGCAAAATTCAAACTACTAACCTTGCAATTAGCAGCCCTGCTACAACATCAGGGCTCCTTATGTATTAGTGTATCACTCACTAAATGGTTCTATATTCTTTAAATAAAATAATATACTCAATACTCTACATTTATGAAGTCCTGGTGTGGTGCTTTGGGTTAATGCACTGGGCTGTAAGATTGGTTTGAACCACAAGGTCAGTGGGCTCAATCTCACCAGTTGCTCCTCAGAAACCCTATACAAGGTTACTATGAGTCAGAAGCAAATTGATGGCACTTAACAACAAGATACATTTATACTGCCCGGCAGAGTTTTTAACAACTTTTGAAGATTTCTGTACAGTTATATTTAACTAATTTTCATTCTATCTTAATAGTATCATTTAACGAACATTTAATTTCATGAAACCAAAAGACCACCACTTGTCTATCAGCTGTGGTGGAGTAAGTGTTGCTAGAAGCTACGCCATTGGTATTTCAAATACCAGCGGGGTCACAAAGAGTGGAAAGGTTTCAGTAGACCTTCCAGACAAAGACAGATGAGGAAGAAAGACATGGTAGTCAACTTCTGACAAAGCTGGGCAGTCAGAACCTTATGGATAACAGCGGTATATAGCCTGATAATAGTGTCAGAAGATGAGTCCCTCAGGTTTTAAGGCACTTAAAATATGACTGCAAGAGAGCTGCCTCCTCAT